ATTGGCAAAAAAAAAAAAAAAAAAAGGAACTGGCCCTTAAAATGTTAGAAATGGTGCTAGGCGTGGTGGCGCACACTTTTAATCCCAACACTAGGGAGGCAGAGGCAGGCAGAGCTCTGAGTTTGAGGCCAGCCTGGTCTACGCAGGGAGTTCCAGGGAGACCCTATCTCAAAAAGATCAAAAAAAAAAAACCCACAAAACCATTAGACATGTAGTCAACTTCATTCAAAGAGAAATGCATATAACTTACTATGAGATACGACTTTTCTTAAATTGAGATAACAATAAGAAAAAAAAAAAAAAGGAAAAATCTTAACTACAGGGTTCACTGATGAGCTGTGGAGAAATGGGTACTCTCAGGCCTAAGCAAGGCAAAGAGGTACAGTTTCCATGCTGGGAAATCTGGCATTACCAACAAACCCACACATACATTTGCCATCTGAGCAGCCCATTTTCAGTTTTCTTTTTTCCTTTCTTTCTCTTTTCCTTCCTTCTCTCCTGCCTCCCTTCTTTGTTTTTTGCTTGTTTTTTTGTTTTGTTTTGTTTTGTTTTTTGAGACAGGGTCTGGCCTTTAATCCTAGCACTCAACAGAGGCGAATCTCTGTCAGTTCAAGGCCAGCCTAGTCTACATAGTGAGTTTCAGGCAAGCTGGGGCTAAAAAAAAAGCGAGAGAATTGGCCTTGAACTCACAGCAATCCACCTGCCTCTGCCTCCTGGGTGCTAAGGTATGAGCAGGTACACCAAGCCTTTTATTACTTTTTTTTTTGTCTTTTTGAGACAGGGTCTCCTTGTAGCCCCAGCTGTCCTGGAACTCACTATGTAGACCAGGCTGGCCTCAAACTCACAAAGATCCGCCTGCCTCTGCCTCCCAAGTGCTGGGATTAAAGGCATGTGCCACCATGCCCAGCTACATTTTTTAACCTTAGAGATACATCTTTAGCAATAAGGGTAAGAGTGCTTGCTTACCACTCAGTCCCTGGGTTCAAGTCCCAACATTTCAAGAGAAAAACATGTGTTCTCATTTCCAGCAATACTAAAATACTTTATTCTTTTTATTTTCTGTGTATGAGTGTGTTGCCTGTATGTATGTAAGTGCCCACAGAGGTCAGAAGAGGGTGTCGATTCCTGGAACTGCAGTTACAGACAGTTAGCTGTCGTGTGGTACTGGGACTCGAACCAGGGTCTTCTGCAAGAATAGCCAGTGCTCTTAACCACTGAGCCATCTCTCCAGCCCCGCAATACTAAAATACTTATGTTCAAGGTTATTAATTATGGTATCATAATTACTCGCTATAATTTAGAAAAAAACTCCAAGTGTCCACACATGGGAAAAGCACTGAATAAATCTTGGTCCATCTAATATTAGCAAAATACTAATATGAACTCTATAATTGGTATGGATGTGATGACTTCTATGATATGCTGGTAAGCAGAAAAAGAGAAGTATGAGAATATCTTTAGCTACATTCATATCTGTATATAAGATGTTTCCCTGGTTCTCTGGTGTACATACTGTACACATGTACAAGTGTTCCTCTGTGGATATGGACGCATAAATGCACATGTATGTAGAGGCCAGAGACTGACACTGAATGTCTTGCTTTATTGCTCTCCACTTAATTTTTTTTTTTTTTGGTCTTTTTGAGACAGGGTCTCCCTGTAGCCCCAGCTGACCTGGAACTCGCTATGGAGACCAGGCTGGCCTTGAACTAACAGAGATCCACTTGCCTCTGCCTCCTGAGTACTGGGATTAAAGGTGTGTGCCACCACGCCCAGCTTCACTTCATTTATTTTTAATTTTTAAAAATTTATTTTGGGGCTGGAGGGATGGCTCAGTAGTCAAGAGCACCGGCTGTTCTTGCAGAAGACCCGGGTTCGAATTCAGCACCCACATGGCAGCTAACAACTGTCCATAACTCCAGTTCCAAGGGATCTGACAGCCACTTCTGTCCTCTGCGGGCATTGCACAACAATACACACATACACATAAAAAATAATAATAAATAAAATATTGATCTACATGCAGGTAATACACACATACACATAAAAATAATAATAAATAAAATATTTTTTTAAATTTATTTTATATGCCAGTTGTGGTGGTGCACACCTCTAATCCCAGCACTTGGGAGGCAGAGATATGCAGATATCTGAGATCAAGGCCTGCCTGGTCTACATAGTGAGTTCCTGGCCAGCTGGCACTTCAGGGAGACCCTGTCTCAAAAAGACCAAGCAAACAAACAACAAAAAACCCTAAACTTATTTTGTGCAGGAGTGTTTTGCCTGGATATATGTAAGAGCACTACATGCATGCAATACTCACAGAAGCCAGAAAAGGCTGTCAGATTCCTTGGAACTTGGGTATTGAGGAGGAGGAGCTGTTGGAAAGATGGTTCCACAGTTAAGAGCACTGGCTGCTCTTACAGAGGACCCAGGTTTGGTTCCCAGCACTATTTGGTGGCAAACAACTATCAGAAATTCCGGTTCCAGAGATCCAACACCCTCTTCTGGCCTCCATGAGCATCGTACACATGTAATGCACTTATATACATGCAGGCAAAACACTTTAAAAATAATAAATGATTAAAAAATAAAACCTTCCTGGGCCTATTATTTGTCATCCTCTTCAAGGTAAGACAGAATAATCTACAGTTGAGATTTTCATTCCTTCTCTTCCCAATTTTTCAACTCACTTGTATCTATATCACATTTTGAAGTACTATAACTTCTGACCCCAAATCAATGCCTAAGTTTTGACCCTTGACAGAATCTAATTAATAGTATGGGTTGATTTCTTCAATGAAACTTTCTTTTGTGCTGTGACTTCACCCTCTGCTCTCCTTCCTATTCCAACTGCTTTTTCTTAATGTCTTTTACATATTGTTCTTTATCTGTCTTGAAACCCTATGTGTTGGCCTTCTTGCCTGTAGCTAGACTTCTTATGTTCTACACACTTCCCAAGGACAATCACAAGTCACTTTCACAGCTAGGATCTATATGTTGCTCACTACTTCCAAACTGACATCTGGTCTACATCTCTATCCTAAGCTCAAATCTAAATAGTCTAATTATTTTTCCAAAGAGTGCTAAGTGGGCAACCTATGGTCCCTAGCTCCGGAGCATCACCCAGCATGACATCTTTCTGCTCAGATCTGTTTCTCTACTAGTGCTGCTCAAATCAGCAAATGGCCCTTACTCCCCCAATACTCAATCCAGAAACCTGACCTCCATTGCTCATTCCACTCTTCCTAACGTTCCATATTCAATCAGTAAGAATTTTGTTAATGCTGTCATTTAACTGTTTCAAATCTACTCTCTTATCGCCATTCATATTCTTTTTTTTCACTGTTTGGGTAACCCATCACCTCATCCTGAGCCATTCCCACAACATTTACCTGGTTCTGGCTACCTCCACTTTGATCTTCTAAAACTTATTTTTCATTTTGAAACAAAGATTAATTTTGTGTGTTCATGTACATATGTGCACATACATGTGGATGTGTGTAGAAGTCAGAGGTTAACATTGAGTCCCTTCAATTGCTTTCCATCTTATTTTTGGAGACAGGGGAACTTTCACTGAATCTGGTCCTAGGATCCTCCTGTTCCTACCTTACCATTGCTGGGATTCTAACAGCACATGACCACACCTATTTTTTTTTTTTTTTTTTTTTGGTCTTTTTGAGACAGTGTCTCCCTGTAGCTCCAGCTGGCCTGGAACTCTCTATGTAGACTAGGCTGGCCTTGATCTCACAGAGATCCACCTGCCTCTGCCAGAGTGCTGAGAGCAAAGACACGTGCCATCACGCCTGGCTGACTACACTTATTTTAAAAAATATTTATCTCAGGCTGGAGACATGGTCCAGTGGTTAAGAACACTAGTTGCTCTTGCAGAGGACCTAGGTTTGATTCCCAGCACCCACATGGCAGCTAACAACTGTGTGTAACTCCAGTTCCATGGGATCTGATGCTCTCTTCTGGCCTCCATGGGCACTGCATGACACAAGTACACTTACATACACGTAGGCAAAACATTCACACATAAAATAGGTAAATTAATTAAATTAAAAAATATCTAGCCAGGTGTGGTGGTGCACACCATTAATCTCAGCACTTGGGAAGCAGATCTCTGTGAGTTCAAGGCCAGCGTGGTCTACATAGTGAGTTCCAGACCATCCAGGACTACATAGTGAGAGCCCCATCTCCAAAAACAAATAATGTATTTAATGTACAAATAATGTATTTAATAATGTATTTATTTAATGTGTATGAGTGTTCTGTGTACATTTATGTCAGTGCACCACATGTGTGCAATGCCCACAGAGGCCAGAAGAGAGCTTCCAATCCCCTGGAATTAGAGTTATGGATGATAGTTAGCAATCATGTGTGGTGTTAGGAACTCAAAAGTCTTCTACAAGAACAGCCAGTGCTCTCAGTAGCTGAGTCATCTCTCCAGACACCAGCCATCCCCTTTTTTTAGCTGAGGATCAAACTCAGGTCCTCATGCTTGAACAATAAGCACTCTACTGACTAAGTCATTGCCTTAACCCCCTCCCCTCTTTTATAGGACAGGGTCTCACTATGCAATCCAAACTCGTCTGAAACTTGCTAGAGCCCAGGCTTCTAACTCAAAATCTTATTGTCTCAGCCTTTCAAGTAGGGAGGAAAGACAGAATGATCCTGGCAACTTGCCTAGCCAGCTGGTCTAGCCAACACTAGTGAGTTCTAAGTTCAGTGAAGGACCCTATCTCAAAAACTAAGGTGGATGATAGTAAAAGACAGACTGTGTGTGTGTGTGTGTGTGTGTGTATAAACAAACAATATGAAAATCCTTGGTAAATTCTAAATTCCTGTAATGGCCACAACAATACTAATAATGACGAAATGGAATTCAATCAACCTTTTCCAAGCACAAAATATATAACATATTAAAAAAATTTCTTTATCCTTCATCAAATGAAGATGAGGCCATGTATATCTAGGATGCAAACTGAATTTCTTACCTGAAGCTCTGCTTCCAGGCCTAGTCTCCGGATAAAGGGATCGGTGACATGGTACCGCCGTTCAAAGCTCAGGGCACCCCGCTCCTGGAGGACCGAAACAAACTTGTGTTTCTTTGATTGAATTCACCATTTCTATATTCAACCCTGAGCAGGGGACCATAAGAGCTAGAAAAGATGAGGAAGAATTGAGGAAGAATTGGCTTATAGAAGTGTGTACTACTCTTAGGGATGGATTGGAGAACAATAGAAGAGAGTTCATATAACTAAGCACTAAGAGCTGGGTGTGGTGGCACATGCTTTTAATTCCAGCACTTGGGAGGCAGAAGCTGAAGGATCTCTGTGAGCTTGAGGCCATCATGGTCTACATAGTGAGTTCCAGGCCAGCTAGAGCTACAGGGAGACCCTGCTCAAAAAGACAAAAAAAAAAAAAAAAGGCCTGTCTTTCAGTAGTGTAGTGTAGGTGAAGCTGCTGGCTCCAGCTTAGAGTTTTTACTAAAGAAGCACAATTTTCCTTGCTTGACTCCATTCTAAGTCTTTGCAGAGGCTCAATGGAGTTTCCCTGATAAAGCCTGGAGCTACCTCACTAACTGAACTCAACTGTCCAGTCATCCAAACTCCTCAAAGGTAACACTGTCTTCTACATGCAAGCAGCAGAGGACAGGATAGCCTCAGAGAGAAAATGACCTCAAGCTGAACTGAGACCACTGCCCCCTTAGTTCTAGCACATCTACAATTCAGCAGCTAGGGCAGCTAAGAGACTATTACTTACTCTTGTGTGCACCCCAACATATGCATGTGCATGCATGTACACAACACACTGATGGTTCATCAGCCTACATTAAATCTTAGCAACCCTGGCACAAGAACTCAGACAGGGAAGTCTCCATAAATTCCATGTACTAAGATAAAATATGGGCAGCAAAACAACTTGACTGTCATCCTGCTACTGTCTAACTATGTGAACGACTCTAGGTAAGTCACAAACTCAAAGCCCATTTGTTCATCTGTAAAATGCATCTGTGGTAGAAGAAAGGGCTTGGTGCCCTAGTAAGAGGTCTGGACTGCTTACTTTGATTTGCCTACGAATGAGGTCTCTAGTTATGTTGACTTTTGCCATCTTCTCTTAATGGGTTCAGCAGAAGGAAGCTATAGAAGGATCTTCAGGACCCTTGCACATTCCAGCCAAGCACAGGTCCACAAGACAAACATTTAATTACCTGCAGGGAAAAAATAAAAACAAATACCATCAAGAATTGGAAAATGGAATAAAGTACTCCTCAACAGCCCCCTAGCCCACTCAGTGATTTATGACATGGTGGGCTGTAGTAATGAACTCCTGACTGGGTGAAGGAGGCAGAGGACAGCGACTCATAAGCACAGGAAGCACTGGGATAAGCACTGAAGAGGTCATGCATGCTTGCTTCACCAAAAATGGCAGTGGACATGGGTATGAAGGAAGCCGGCAACATATTCTAAAAGTCAGAAGAAGGCACACAGCTAAACGGAAGCCAAATTCCACTTGTTCGGCAAACATCTGTGGCAGCCTGTCTGAGCTGTTAATCATGCTTCAAATCCCTAACCCTCAGCTTGATGCTCCCTAAACAAATCAGTATTATGGCCCAAACACTCAACTATCACAGAATCACAGAATCAAAAATAAAAAGGAGGTCTTCCAGGGAACTGGTCATATGAAGCTCCTGGAATGGCAAGCCCAGCTCCACACTCCTTTCCACGTCTGGCCCTATGCTTCAGTCCTAGTTTGCTTCTCTGTTGCCGCAATAAAAATTTTGGCCCAAGTGACACAGGAAAGAAAGGGTTTATTTCAACATACAGATTACAGTTCATCATCAAGGGAAGCCAGGGCAGGAGCTCAAGGCAGAAACTAAAGAGAGATCATGGAAGAACACTGCTTACTCACGTGTTACCCCTGGCTTGTCTTAACAGCCAGTGTTCTTAACCGCTGAGCCATCTCTCCAGCCCATAAATAATTTTTAAAGAAGAAAAATGGTCTGGAGACCTGGGTTCGAATTCCAGCACCCACTTGGCTGCTAACAACTGTTCATAACTCCAGTTCCAGAGGATCCGATGGCCTCTTCTGTCCTTGGACACTGCATAACACTTACATACATGCAGGCAATATACCACATAGACATAAAATAAAAATAAATTTAAAAAAAGAAAAATGATGGGGCTAGAGAGATGATCAGCAATTAAAAGCACCCGCAACACTTCCAGAGTATCCAAGTTCCATTCCCAGCATGACATCAGGCAACTCATAACTGCCCATAAAATGCTGTTCCAGGAGATCTAACACCCTCTTCTGGCCTTCTGGGGCACCTGCACACACAGACCACACACTCAAGACATATACACACATACCCCTGAATTAAAACACACCCACGCACACACACACACACACACACACACACACACACACAAAACCTCTTTTAAAAAAAAGTAATGAGCCAGGCATAGTGGCACATGTGTTTGATCCCAGCAATCCAGAGGCAGAGGGAGGTGGATTTCTGTGAGTTCAAGGCCAGCCAGGTCTGCACAGTGAGTTCCAAGCCAGCTGGGGCTACAGGGAAACACTGTCTCATAAAAAAAGAATGATGGGGGCTGGAGAGATGGTTTAGCAGTTAAGAGCACTGACTGCTCTTGGTGGTTAGAGGACTCAGTTTCTGTTCCCAGCACCCACATGGCAGCTAACAAATGTCCATGTAACTCCAGTTCCAGAAGATCCAACACCCTCTTCTGACCTCCTCGGGCACTGAACAACAGGAGTGCACTTACATACATGCAGGCAATGCACTCATACACATAAAATAAAAATAATAAAATATTTTTTTAAAAAAGCAACTCTTTAGACTCTAGCAAAGAAAACACAAAATGTAAAAAAATTTTCATGAGTATATCCATCAGATTTTTAACAGAAAAAAATAAAATAAAAACACAGTTGTCAACATTAGCAAAATGGCCAAAGAATATATTGCCATAACGATGTTATAGAGAGATCATAAATGATAATTGTGTTGGCGAGATGACCAAGTCTGACAAGCTGAATTCAATCCCAGAACCCACAAGGTAGAAAAAGAGAATGGACTCCTGAAAGCTGTCCGCTGGCCAGCATATAAACACACCTACAAAAAATGCATAAAAATTTTGAAGACATTATAATAACAAAGGAAAAATCCTTATGTCATATTACAATGTTTACTGATAAGCTGTTTTCAACAAGTATGTTTTGCTTTTAAAATGAAATATAAAAAACAATAATAGCTGCTCTGAATATTATATATCTTTTTTTCCTTCTACTTATTTTCTTTTGGTCTTTTTGAGACAGGATCTCCTTGTAGCCCCAGGTGGCCTGGAACTCACTATGTAGACTAGGCTGGCCTCAATCTCACAGCGATCTGCCTGCCTCCTGAATGCTGGGGATTAAAGCACCACATGTGCCACGCACACACACAATCAATGTGAGTCTCTAGAAAAAGGCTAGGTGTGCATGCCAGAGGCTGATGTCAGCTGTCTTCCTTCCTCTAGTGCTTTAATACTTAAAATTTCTGAGGCAGGACCCCCTCACTGAAGCTGGAGCTCACTCTTTGGGCAAAACTAGCTGACTAGGGACATCCAGGGACCATACCTGGCTTTTTACATGGGTGTTGGGGATCTGAATTTAGGTCCTCATTCTTGCATGGCAAACATTTTGACAACTGAGCCATCTCGCAAGTTCCCAAAGCACATTACTTTTATTTATTTATTTATTTATTTATTTATTTATTTATTTATTTATTTGAGTTTTGCCTGCATGCCATACCCAAGGAAGCCAGAAAAGGGTATAAGAGTCCCTGGAGCTAGAGTTAGGGACAGTTGCTGGCTACCACATTAAGTGCTAAGAACTGAATCCTCTGCAAGAGTAGTCAGGGGTCTTAACTGCTGAGCCATCTCTCCAGTCCCAAAGCAAAGCATATTAATTCTTAATAAGGAAAAGAGAGAGAAAACCTCCACTAAGTTACTAAGGCTACATCTATCCACTGTTTTTAAAGGAAGTTCTATTATTTCCACTTCTTCCTGCTTCCACCTCTACAGCCACAAGGCAGAGGTCTAGTCTTTCCTCCTCACGCTGGTTGCCTGTGCTTTCAAGATGACTCTCAGGATCCAAGATCCCCCAAGCCAACCAATTCAGTCATGTGGACCTCCTTAAGGCCACTTCTGAATTTCACCAGCTGGGCCCCAGCAGACACATAATACACCCTCCTGAAACCTCACCTTTTCCTTCTGATCCCTGAGTAGTCTCCTTCCTTTCTTTTGACATAACCACAAAAGGAAAGTCCACACTTCACATTGTTGCAGATATTTTTCCATTTAATGATAACCACACAGATTTTCTTCCTTTAATGTGAAACAATTGAAGTAAACTTGCTGTCTGATTAGATATTCTCCTTCAGAGTTCTTTGGGGAAAAAAAATACCTTCATGATTGATATTAGAATCATAAACTCTTTTTTTTTTTTTTAATATTTTCTTTATTATTTTTATGTGTACGAGTGTATTGCCTGCATGTATATGAGTTCACACGTGTCGTGCAAGGCTGCAGACGTCAGAAGAGGACTTCGGATTCCCCTGGAACTGGAGTTAAGGACTGTTCGTTGCCGCCATGTGGGTGCTGGGAGTCGAACCCAGGTCCTCTGCAAGAGCAGTCAGTGCTCTTAACCGCTGAGCCATCTCTACAGCCCCGAATCATAAACTCTTTAAAAAGGTAAGAAACTTCTCCCACAACATGGAAGCCATCAGCCTCGTCTCTTTATGCAAACTGGCAGGAAGATACAAAGACCTTGGCATTATTTAGGTCATGGATCCTGCAAGCACCAAGAACATGCAGGAGCACCTGCTGAGAACAACTACAGATTCATGTGGCCTTCACATCAAATTTAAAACATGAATATGGGGGCACACACCTTTACTCTCAGCCATCGGGAGGCAGAGACAGGCAGACCTCTGTGAGTTCAAGCCAGCCTGGTCTATAAAGCAAGTTACAGGCCAGTCAGGGCTACATAGTGAAACCCTGTCTCAAAATAAACAAAAACAAAGAATGTAAATGGCCACTGGGAAACCATGAGGACATGAGTTCAGATCCCGATCACATAAAAGTCAAATGCTATAAGGGGACAGAGACAGGCAGATTCCGGGGGCTTGTTGGCCAACCAGTCTAGCTAAAACAAAGAGCTCCACTCTCAAAAATAAGGTGGGGAACAATCAAGGAAAATACCTAATATGGACCTCTGGCCTCTACACCCACATAGGCACATGCATTCACACATACACAATAATATGTAAATGTGAAGAAATTAATGTAAGCGAAGCACAGGCTGCAATTGTGTCTATAACTTGGTTTGTGGTATAATGGTCAAAGCTAAAACAACAAAATTGCCCCACAATCTCCAACAAGATGCAATGAGGTTTATTATAATGAAAACACCACCAGTGAGTACATCTGGTATTAAGACCAGTTGTGTGATCTTATTAAAGGCATGTGCCACCACACCCAGCTAGTACCACTTTCTTTAGAGGATTGCCGTTGACCTCTCTATGTTCCATTGTTTTTTAAAATACACATTTGTGCCTCTGTGTGTGTGTGTGTGTGTGTGTGTGTGTGTGCGCGCGCGCGCACGCGCACAAGTGCACCTTGTGGGTTCTAGTCCCAGGGATTGAACTCAGGTTATTAGGCTTGGTAGCAAGCACCTTTACCCACTGAGTCAGTGCAATACCAAGAGACCCAATCACTGTGGGAGACTGGCAAGGTGGTTCTCTTTTAAGAGTGTTAAGCCAGGGACTGAGGATGTAATTATAGGAGAGGTGGGAAAAAAGGACAGGAGGGAAAAGGAGGGGGAGGGAGGGAAGAGGATAAAGGGAAAGGGAAGAGAGAAGAAAAGGAAAGAGACAAGAGAATCAAAGACTAGGGAGATGGCTCTGGGCAGTGTCATGGAAGAATGAGGGCCTGAGTTTGGATCCCCAAAACATGTGAAAAGTGCTGAGGAGGTGGAGACAGAAGGTCTGCTGGCCAAGCAGTCTAGCAGAAGTGGTCTGCTAAGTGAGCAACACGCTCACTTAGAGACCCTGTCTCAAAAAATAAGGGGGATGCAATTCAGGAAGATATTTGATGCTGATCTCTGACCTACACACGAGAGAGAGAGAGAGAGAGAGAGAGAGAGAGAGAG